TTTCATCAACGCTTAGCGCTTTTTTTACCTTTTTTTTAAAAAGGTAAATTTGTATATAATTTTAAAATTCCATAGAAAAATCTTTTATACACATGTTAATGTATATCCCAGACAGCACACAATATTTACAAAATACAAAATATTTAGAAATATTTATAAGATTTATTTTAAATATTTTGTAAATATTTTCGTGGTTTTAGATTGCACATCAGATCATAAATATTTATTATAAATATTATGAAATACTTATTAGAATAGTTATAGTAAATAACTATAAAAATACATAATGTGAGACATTATAATCCAAATAAAAAATACTTATTAGAAATATTTATTTATATTTATCATAAATATTGCATAAAATATTTAGTATCTAATTCTATATTTTAATAATATTTCGAATAAAGCTTTATATAAAATATTTAGTCTATATTTTAATAATATTTCGAATAAAGCTTTATATAAAATGTGTATAAAATATCTATATAACATTTCAAAAAATGAATATTAATAAATATTTATCATAAATATTCTGTGCTGTCTGAGATATTGCAGTTTGATAGTTACTGAAAATAAGATTGCGAAACATACCAAATAAATCGCTGAACATGCTGCTGGTCTGTGCGGCGAAACCGTTCAGATCGCTGCTAATATTGCTGAAAAAGTCTCGTCCAACCCCACCTCGAGAATCAGACGCGACTAGCTGATTACTGACCGAATCCTTCCGCTGCTGCGTATTGGGAGATTGCGGCGAATGTGTGGGTGATTGTTGCGACTCTCCAAGACCCTAAAAGCAAATGTAAAGATTGCATTCGATGAACCAATTTTGAAGATTAGCGCAAAAAATTTAAAAGATGCTTCAGCGCGACTCTATCAGAACTAAGATACTACTCACATACCTTGAGCAAGCCTTTCTTTGCGGCGGCTTCTTTAGCACTTTTTGTCAAATCTCCCAATGTGCTCTTGCCGACGTATGTCAAATCATCCAGAGTATTTTTACTAACACCCGCCGCGGTTTTGCTCGCCTCCAGCGCGGTTTTCGATACCTCTTGCACTGACTTGGTAGCCTCACCTACCGCTTTCTTCGTTTGTTGCGTCAACTATGATTTAGAAAAAAGAAAACAACTAAGCATACATTTCAATTTCATATATTTTATGTATAACGTAACATTTCACAAAAACGTACTTGCTCCAATGGCGCGAATAGACTGTCTTCGCTTGCCTCTGTAATTTTTTCTTTTGCCTGCTTCAGCTACGATAAATAGAAAATTAAATAAATAAATAGCTACTATCGCATTTATAATAAAATATTTAATTGATTTAATAAAACAATTGATTTAATAAAACTAGAGAACGAATGTTAGTAGCAATTATAAATTACAAATTAACAAAAAACTAATAAGTTTTTATAGACACGTTTAATTAAAACAATTAAGAAAAACCATAAAACATATATTACAAGCAATAGGAGCCAACGCTGGTTATCAATTAGCGCAATTCTTCTTAATATTAAAAATATAAACCTTAACTTTAAACGTTTCCACTCATTTGAGTCTTCATCAGCAATCTTTCCCCCTAGCGCAACGATTGGAGTATTGCATGACAAAATGATATCTCCAACGTTTTTCCTCTCAAAAATTGAACCGTTTACTGTTGTGAGGTAAGTCACATACTCACAAAGTTAAAAAGTTGAGTGGCAATGAGAACTCAAGCTAAAATTAAAAACCAGAATTTTTGAACACAAAAAACATATCCATAGTCAAACATCCACTCATTCAGTGATTACAGAGCATGGGTTACAGAGCATAAGTTATAAATGATAAAATTATCGTAAATACATAGAAGGAAAAAAGGCACTCGAGAGTCAATACGTTAAGATATTAAAATGATCATATCATGTTCAATATATTAATTACAAAAGTAGAATAAATTAGAAAATAAAAGTATTTAAACATGACTAGTTTCGGCTTCCAATTTGAGCCCTCTTCAGATGTTCGACAAATTTTGCGCAATATAATTATCGAAAATATACATAAAATTCACAAACTGAGATAAGTCGCCGGTCATTTTAAATGTAATGATAGAAGTATTCTCTCAGAGGGACGAAAAACTCGTCAAGCGATTGGAAGATCGTTTGCGAAAGATCCTCGTAATTCTAAAGGTAAAACAGAAAAAACGTTGCCAATAATCCAACCACATAGTCAAAACAAGAAACTCGTCACTCTGATAAAACACTCATCTCTGGGAAAATCCAAAAAAAATCCATATTGATAAAAAGTTCGCCAAAAATAAGGTCATATTGTAAAAAGTAACTGTTATCACATCACAATGGTGAAGTCGGTGATAAAATAATATAAAATTTATCACATTATAAACGTAACACGTCCGAATATAAAATAAGACAAAACGACATATCCACTCGACGTGCGAAACTTCCAATTATTAACTTCCAGAATAGTAACATAATTTTCACTAAAGCTGACAAAGGCAACTTAACGGTAGCGCTGGACAAAAACATGTATATTGAAAAAGTTAAGACAATGCTTGATGATGAAGACACGTACTTGAAAATTCTTAAGGATCCTACGAGTAAAATTAACAATAACTTGAGGCAATTGTTGGCAGGATGGAAAAAACAAAATTACATTTCGGAATCAACGTACAAACAACTCTATTGTAGCGATGGTAACATTCCTAGGGCTTATGCGTTGTCAAAAGTGCATAATTGCCCATTTAGAATCATCATATCCTCTTTGGATAGTGCATTATATAATTTGGCAGCGTTCTTACATAGTTTGATTGTCAAAAGTATTCCTAAAGCAGCTAGTAACATCGAGAACAGTTTTGAATTAGTTCAGAAATTAAAAAACATTAAAATTGATCATGATTTTAGTTTGGTGTCGTTGGATGTAATATCACTCTTTACTAACATTCCAATGGATTTAGCAATAGATGCTCTTTCCAATAGATGGGACTTTATTTGCAAGAATTGCAATTTATCGAAAAATGAATTTATCAAAGCTGTTCGCTTAGTGTTGGATTCAACTTATTTCACTTTTGACAATCAATTTAATAAACAGATTTTTGGAATGCCTATGGGCACCGCTTTCTCCGATTGTAGCTAACTTAGTTATGATGGATTTGGAGAATTGGGTGCTGAGCAATATTCAATATCATATACCATTTTACTATAGATATGTAGACTATATCGTTCTTTGTTTACCGAATTCTAAAATTGATTCTATTCTTGAAAAATTCAATTCATTCCACCCAAGGTTACAATTCACCTTGGAATTGGATGGTAATTCTATCAATTTTTTGGATACAACTATAATTTAAAAGAATAACTCATTAGTATTTGATTGGTATCAAAAACCAACGTTTTCGGGAAGATTTTTTAATTTTTTGTCTCAGCATCCAATCTCGCAAAAGAAGGGCATAATATTCAATTTGGTAGATAAAGTTTTTTATATCTCACATCCACAATTTCACAAAAAGAATCTTGAATTTATTGTGAGGACACTTTTGGAAAACGATTATCCATTAGATTTTATATTCGATACTATTAATGAAAGAGTTAAAACATTAATAAATAAACTGAATTCTTGTTCTACTAAAAGAACAAATAACAACTTACCTAAAGAACGAGTTAAATGGTTTTCCATATCGTATCTAGAAGAGATATCGAATAAATTCAAGAATGCAATTAATGGGGTTTGCCATAGGGTTTCATTTTTTAGTTTGAACAAGTTGAATCAGTTTATTAAAGTTCATAAAGATTCTTTAAACAATGAATTAAAAAGGAATGTAGTCTACAAGATTAATTGTTGTGATTGCGATACTTCCTATGTGGGACAAACAGGGAGAAAATTAAAAACCAGAATTTCTGAACACAAAAAACATATCCATAGTCAAACATCCACTCATTCAGAGCATAGGTTGCAAAGCGATCATGACTTTTATTGGCAAAACGTAGAGATTTTGGATGTAGAGAATTATTATAATAAAAGGTTAATATCGGAAATAATGCATATTAATCGACAGACCAATGGGCTGAATCTACAACATGATACCGTTGGTTTAAATCATGCGTACATTGATATTCTCAATAAACTTTAAGGCTTGTTCGTAATATAATACATGTCATAAGCTTGTTTGTCTTCAAATTGACCGCTATGTTACTATTTATTTAACCGACTGTCGAAATGACAAGACACATATTGTTTTCGTAGTTATTATTTTTTAAAATTTGACGATAATTTTTAACATATTAACGAGTTACAAAATGTTGCATAAGAGAGATTCATTGTTCAGTGTAGAAGCGTCGACTGTATGAGGTGAGGTGATTATTAATTTTCAAATTATATACATACGATAATTTAATCATTTATATAATTTTAGCTTGAGCTCTCATTGCCACTAAATTTTCTAACTTTGTGAGTATGTGACTTACCTCACAACAGTAAACGGTTCAATTTTTGAGAGGAAAAACATTGGAGATATCATTTTGTCATGCAATACTCCAATCGTTGCGCTAGGGGGAAAGATTGCTGATGAAGACTCAAATCATGAGTGGAAACGTTCAAAAAAAGTCAAGGTTTATATTTTTAATATTAAGAAGAATTGCGCTAATTGGTAACCAACGTTGGCTCCTATTGCCTGTAACATATGTTTTATGGTTTTTCTTAATTGTTTTAGTAGCAATTTATTGACGATTGCTTAAACAGAGGGTCATATATTAAGAACATATTGGACCAATATTGTACTAGTAAATTGTGCCAGAGAAGCAACTGGACCAAATATTTTATTATTACGCATGCTTCACCTTGTCCATGTGTGCAAGTAGCCCATCCTGGCTGCTCTGTCTAGTTTCGCGCATTAAGTCCTTCGCCTGGCTAGCAATCTGCTCGAACAAAGAACCCTGCGAGCCCTGTCGAAGAACACCGTTTCCGGTAGCGGTACTACTACCGCTGCCACCGCTATTCTGCCGTTGCACCAAGTTATCGTTGCTAGATTTCTGCATAATCGTTGGTCCTGCCGATGCCTGACGTTGAAGCTGCATCGCTTCGTGATGCTGAAGCTCGGTGGTGGTGACCGCACTTATCTGTCGTGGTAGGAGAGGCCCACCAGCGGTGTTGAAGCTGGAGGCTCTCGCCAGGACGTTGCCAACGCTTGGCTGACGCTGTAGACCCGGTCCCGTGGGTGGTACCTGGAAAAAAGTACGTGAACGTTTATAATTATTCTCAACTGCTACGAAAAAACAGACAATCTTTTTATTAGAAAATAATGGGAAAATCGGGGGTTCAAATCATCAATAATCCCGTATGTCTCTGAAAAATTTTTTACTCGAAAAAAGTCAATTAAAAGTAGAAAAATGCTCGTGTAATAACGTTGCTTCTGGAAAATTATTATTTATTATTAATAAATTCATTATATATAACAATTTTATATCAATAGAAAACTTTTAAGGCACACGGGATTGCAGCAGAAAGAACTCCAAGACTTTTATACTAAAAAGTGTTTTTTTTTTCTGAAAATATTACACATTTATAATTAACACAAGATTTAATAAATATCTATCATAGTCTCAAGATTCAAGATATGAGTAATAATAAGTTAGTCATGCTTTAATAAAAGATATCACGTTGAAATAGTACAGAGATTTAGGTCTAGATAAAACAATTTGTATTTGACAATACAAGTGATAACTACAAGAAGAGCCGTACTTTTCACTGTAATTTAAATAGTGCATTATCTCTGTGCATACTGCATATACATGTGTTGAAAAGATCAAAATCGTGTTCCTTACAATCATTTTAAAGTCAATGAAACATAACTCGTGAACGTGTATCGACAAAAAGATGAAAGGATGTATATGTAAATGTATCTGTAGATGTTATTTCATGTATGTTTTGTGGATCGCATGAGAAATAGACACTAGCATCAATGCAATAACGTATCTTCAAAGAATAATATGAAAAGAATATATGTATCATAATAAATCTCATTCGTTCGTTTCATGCTAAGAAGAAATGGTGCGAAATACAGACTGAAGATCAGACAACTATATATATAATAGACTTCACGCAATCACATACTTAATGCCAGCTATGGGACGTGAATGGGGATTATCATAATGTTTGTGTTTTCAAAGGCGAACGTGCAAAGAATACTCAAACAATGGATATATCTCGTAAAACGAACGTCAATTAATCGTAAAAACAATAATGCACCTTTAAAATAAAATGCAAATCAAAGACGAGAAGCTTTAACATTCTTCTCAAACAATATTTTTAACGAGAAATATGAATTTAAAAAAAGGAGAGAAAAAGATGAGAGAGTGATAGGCAAACATTTCACACTCCGTGGAAATTATTCCCTCCAGTATCCAATTCGATTTCATTCTATCATGCATCAACCCCCAAATGATACCAAGGATGCGTTCCACTTAACGTTCGCAAGCAACGCTTGCGAGCATCATTTCACCTTTGTTGTCATCCAATGTTAAATAAGAATGAAATGATGCATGTGAATGTTGCAAACGTTAAACTGAACACATCCCAAAGTGACACTCTCGAGGAGATATTCGAAAGTGACAGAATTAAAGGTACATATGAAGATGACTCACAGGAGTGACATATCTACTGATACGTGAAGTCCTGTGAGGTGTGGTAGGACGTTCAGTATCGTTGAGCGAAGATTGAGTGCCTAAAGATCCCATGCTTATCCCTGTGAACTGTCCTACCGAACTTTGTGCGCTCAGGATAGTGCGCGGTGTTATTGTCGACGCGGAGTCTGACTCAAAGCTACCACCCTCCTCTTTATCCTATAATCAAGCTATCCGTTAGCGCACACCGGAGATGCCAGTTCGAGATTTAACGCATAACGTAACACGCTATGAAAGTATTTCGTAGATATCGTATTTATGCACGAATCATTATTGTGTGCCGATTTATAGAATTGAAAAATATCTACGAATTTTTAATTTTAATTCGATGTATGTGAAACCTTCAATGATATTATATCTGTTACCTATTATTATAAAATTGAAATACTATTAATGGATTACATGTTACGGAACCAAGAGATTTTCGTTATTTTTAATTTTTTAATTCTGATGTCGTGCATGCGACATGATTTATGTCATACGATGTAAACTATAATTACATGAAATATAAAATATCATTTAGCATATAGAAAATAGTGCATTTAAAAAAAGGGAAGGAAAAAAAACAAGAGAAGGAGTCAGGGAAAAAGTTTATGTACTTACATTAGTAGACTGCGAACCCTCGAGAATTTTTGGATTTAACTCAAGCTCGGAGTCTCTGTTAAAGCTTGGGCTACTGAGATCGCTGTGACTAGAAGACGTGCTCGGCGGACTCTCGGGTCGTATCGGTGAGTCCTCCTCCACCCCGGGATATTGCAAAGAACTTGGTGGATTGTAAACGTTCTTTGGATCCACTGAGAGCGACATTTGTTGAGGCTGACTCACTTGTGGGCAATTGTACCCTGCGAAAAGTAATTGAATAATAAAAATACTTGAACACTAAAACTCACTTTAATTGAATATAAAATTTCTTTTATTCTTTTATATAATATAAAAATATTTGAATTGTATAAATGTTAAAATGCTTTACTGCTTTAATATAATTTTTAATATTGAGTACCTTTTTTTATAAAACACTCACCCGGTGATAAATCTGACGATGCCATCTCAGAGACGAAATCGCTCAGAGAGGAATAAGAGGAGCTGGTGCTTTCGGCGCCCTCAGAATCGGAGCCGCTTTCGTCTGTAGGCTGCGTCTCATGTTCCCTCATCGCTTTCAGAGCGTTCGCCAGCGAGCTACCGGAGTCCCAAACGGGAAAGTAGATTGGCTCGAGATTGGTCGCGTACCAGCGCGGCTTGTCGCCAATTTGCGCTGGGTCGAACACCCCGGTCTGCACTCGGAGGAAGGCCACATTGCTTGGCGTGAGGGACCATTCGGCCAGAAACTCGACCGCCTGCGTACGCGCGAATCTGTTGAGGAAGCTACTCTTCCTGGGTCGCGAGCGAAGAAACGAGTTGATTTGGAAGGCCACCACTGGCCGAGGGTATAGTCGCAGGGTACGAGTGTGCTCGGTGAAGTTGGCCAACAGGTTCTGTGAGTTAAAGAATCGCACCATAGCGACCCGCGTGGCAATGTCTACTGAATCCACGTCGTTTCCGTAGATGAAGGGATTGAAAGGTGCCGGGCTCTGTCCGGTCACCTTCGGCGGATACGGACCGGCCGGGCCGTATCCACCGATCGTCTGTGACATCGACGGCCGACGAGGTGGACTCGATGATGAGCTCATGCTAGGCGAATTCAACGGAGTGTGTTGAACATGTGAGCACTGATCGATGCTCGGCCTGTGCTTCGTCGATGCTACACTGTAGGGTTTATTGGTAGTATTTTTATTAGCATTCAGCATTGTAAAAATATTTAAAGTTTAAATAGTGGCGGTACTTTACAATTGATAAATAAATATATCTGTCGATAATTTTTCTTCAAAGAAAAGCACAAATCTTTTTTCAGCTACATTCTGTAGTCAAAATTTTATTTTTATATTATTATTAATAATTTTATTGTCTTACGATAGGTTTCATTAAAAGACAATAGGCGTGGTAATTACATTGACATACCTTAAACTGGAAAGATGGGAGGTTGCGCTTTCTCTTCTGCTTGGCGCCTGAAAAGACAGACGCATCGAGATGTCTTGCGGAGGCAATGGAGGGCCTGACATACTGGCCATCGCCTAGAAATTCGTCAGAGTAAATTAACGGTTCATTACAATGCTTGTTATTCATTGCTACTTTGTTGCTAGTTGCTGCTTCTACTTCTACTTCGACTAATAAATTATCTACAAACAAAAAGTGACAAACGTTATGAAAAGAATTTTCCGATATCGACTATCAACTTCTAGTTTTTAAGAAGCAAACCGATCTTTTGTGGATCTCTATTTATATTTGCTACTTGTAATTATTTACAATATTATTTTATAGCATTAGCAAATGTGTGTGGCTGTCATCAACCTGATTCTATATACGACTCTAAACGTGATAAATCATGCATGCGACTAACTACGAAATAAGGGATACGCCACTAAGCGGATTGAGAATTAGTAAAATATTTACACTAGAGCCAACTTGATCCATCAGTTGCATTGCCTGCGATGAGGGTAAGGAGTCATTAAATACTCTTCATCAGTCAGCTTCGTAATAAGTGTATATGTATATCGCCGCTTAAATGCCGACAAGAATCTCATTACCTGCTTCAGATGATTCTTCAAGATGGTACCCTCCGGTTCCGGCAAAGGTGGTAAACTGTCTTCGCCCAAAGCGCCTGGTGCCGTTATCTTATTGCTATCTAAGTCTACCAGCCAGATATCATCGGGCATCTTGAAGTTCTTTTTGTACAATAGGAAGGACGCAGGTATTCCGATCACGAAAGGAGTCGGAGCGAGCAGCAATTGTTCCGCGCAGCTCATGCACGTGGGAAGTAAGGGTATTGCGGGAAACATGTACTCCAACGGGTAGATCATCGTGACAAACGCCATGACCGACATGGACAAAGCGTTATAATCCCGTGATTGAAGTACAATCTGAAAGGAAAGTTAATCATTCTGTTTAGAAATTTTAGCTCTGGATGTTTAAGGTACGAAAAAGGCACTTTAATGAAAAATATATACTTTATACAATAATAATAATTAGAAGAATTAGAAGAATACATTTTATATTTTTTCAATATTATTTTACACTTGTGTACCTTGTTTTCTAAGAGAATCAGCGTGAGGACCTTCAAACATATGTCGACGCCGAGAAGTTCCAACGGCAGATGCAGAGGGAAATCGACTAGGGTGAACCTGGTATGGTCCGGCAAGGCGAAACACAGCGGGGGTTGCAAGCTCGATGATATTATCTCAACCTCGACGCGTGTCTTTGCTGGAACGGGCACGGGGCTGCTGAGTAAACGCAGTATCCATGTCTCAATTTCGCGAACGTCGTGAAGTACGATAGACGGCGTGTCGCCCAGAGCCTGACCCGTCAGAACACTCCATACTGTATCTCTGTAACGGAGGAAGTTCAGTTAACGTAGAAATTTTTCACGCTCTTTATCTCCTTTTTAAAAATTGTGAAGCATTATACAGGATTGTTAAAATTCGAACACACCTGTTGGTCTGCCGAGAAGCTCCAACTTTCTGCGGCGAAAAACTCTCGTTGCACGCGTCGATGATCTTCTTCAGAACGAAAAGACATTCTCGGAACATCGAGAAGAACGGATGATGAGAAATTATGCATAGTGAAGTCAAGGAATGATTGCGAACCCTCTGTGAGAATATTGTAAAATTGTTATTGGCGAACTTTAACATTATTTTTATGTAAAATTATATATTATTCTCAACCCCCCCCCCCTTCTAAAATACTTTTTAAACAAATTAATTATTAATCCTGATGATCTGTTAAAATTTACTATACAATTATATCGTTTAGGATAATATAATTGAAAAATTCTAAAAACTAAGAAATAAAAAATTTTCACAGAAAAAGAATCTTAAATTACATTAACAGATGAAGGCATTAAATACCAGAGAATAAAGTTTTAAAATAAAATATCAGTAAGAAAATAAATGATATTTTGGATCAAATAGACTCGAAAAAACCAGAAGGGTTAATGAAAACTGTTTCTAGTGCTGTTATTAGTCAGTGATATCGACCTGACGTCTTCGAGATGCACGTGGCGAAGGGGAATGACTGCCGCCGCTCTCGCTGTCTCCACTCGGTGCGATGAATTCTAATCTCGGAGCGTGGGGTACCTGCGGGGTGTCCGAATCCCTCCTGCTACTAGAGCAATCTTTCTCAGAGTCACTAGGACCCACTGCACTGCTCCTATAGTCGCTATAACAAACGGCTAGAGATACAGTCTTATAAACGGGACAATCTGTCGGATGCAAATTGTATACGCGCGAATCATTCGGGTAGTTTAAAACAAGAATCTTCATCTCTTAAGAATCTTTATTTTTAAAGAATTAATTATTTTAGAATCTCTTCGTTTTGAGAAACGAGAAGTTTCGTCGTCTTTTATATAGCTATATAAAATATAACTGCGCCGAGTATATTGGAATTCTGTTCCAATTTTTTTTATTGAATGTAAAAATTAAAAGAAGGCTAATAATTATAAGCCATTTCACCTAGAAAAAGCGGAATCCGTGCTTCTCTCCATGCTCTTCCTCCAGCTTTCTCTACGAAACGTGGTATTGTACTTTTCTCTCTTGAGCGAAATTCCCCCGCCAGCCACGACCCCCGCTCTTTCAGTAGGTCGGTAGAAATTCACACAGATCCCGTAACGCGTTTTTCCTGCGTATTGCAAAATATTTGTAACGTAGAGCGGATTCTTGCAAATCTCACGTGCGACACAAGTAGAACGCATACGAACCTGAATCTTTATCGGTGAGGGTGAAGGTAAAGGACGTTGCCTCTCGTAAGGCCGTGCGCTTTGGTCCCACGCTACTGCAACCTTCCGGTTGGCAGAAGTACACCATATCCAGAGGCAGAGGAAAATCCTTGTGATCCTCCACCGGATATCTGCGTAGCAACTCCGGAACCTGTGTTAAATAAAAGTCATTATTTCCTTTCCCTAAATCGTATTTTATCAATTATTTTTTTATATTCCAGTTTCTCGAAGGAATAGCTTATAGCTTGGCAAAAAATCGATTAGACGCATATTAAAGCCGTATCACGATTTAATATAAAAACAAATATAAAAACAAATTAAACCGTGAAAAATCCTCAATACATTTTAATGTGTTGTTAAATAAAATACTTGTAATTTATAATTCCAAAATTCTATATAAAATTTTGCAAATACAGACTTTAATATTTCGCATTAATTGTTATACCTGTACGGGCTGACGAGAGGTAGCAGGCATCCTGGCCCCCACGATGGCGAGATAATCTACCAATCGGGGGCACAGGAATTTCTTCTGTATATCCATGGCTGTGATCTATGTGTGTACAGCTGTGTCACCGTTGTATACAGTGTATACAGGACATCCGAGCTGCTGAACTCTCTTCAGGGTCGTTTCCAGCTTGAATCATGATTGTACCATTCTCTCGCTTATTTATCCCACCTGTGAACAGAGAGTTAGAGAGGTTGCAATTAATTGACGTCCCTGTCTCACTATTTGCTGAATAGTCCAGATTAATTAAACTTCCGCTATAATTATTCTCGAGCGGAATGAATTTGTAGATAACACATCCGCTTATACTTTGTTATTTTTAATAAAGTATTTCTCGGCTAACATCGTAACAATATTCTTTCTTTAAAAGATATCTTAAGGGTAATCATATTTTAAATTAAACTTCATGCTATAATTTAATATTTTTAATTAAACTTCATGCTATAATTTTCTTAAGTTAAAATTAAAACTGTCGTTGACGTAGATTGCTTCCACTTCTCAAGTTTTAATTACGCTGCATAATTATCTCGTTTTCGTAAAGATTTAACCTAAGTAACATTCGTTTATCATGATAAGGTCAAAATGAAGTAATATGACTGAAACTTGACGAAGTTTCACTAAATTTTATATCAATTTGATGTCATTTAACTGTAACATTGCGTGTTACTTGGAAAGTTAATATTAGAATCAATAAATACCCAATTATTTTAATCTTTAAAAATTATATACCAAAGATTAAAATAATTAAACGTTTAAAAGAAAGGATTATTTATTATTATATTTCAAAATCTTAAATTTTAGTTATAAAAGTGAAACGTTGGGTGTTAACGAATCAATTTCTCTAAAGCTATGATCGCGAAGGGCGGATAGGCAGAAAAGACTCGAAAGTTTCAGTGAATTTTATGTCAATTTGACGTTATTGTGACATTACTTGGTAAGTTAATATCAGTATCCTTAAACGTTGACTATTTTAATCTTTGGAAATTATTCAAATTACACACCAAAGATTTAAAAAAAAGGGATTATTTATTGTCATATTTCAAAATCTTAAATTTCAGTTACAAAAGTAATCGAGATGTTTGGCGGTAACAGATAAATTTCACTAAAGTGAAGAGTGGATGGGTAAAAGAAGCCGGAGGGCAGCAGCCGGTCCGGACGAGATTTCAGAAGATCAATGATTCCAAAGGCCCAAAAAGGATATCTGTGTCACCGTGTCGGGGGTAAAAGGGAACGAGCGTGCATGCGCGTGGTATGTTTAATTCCGATATCGGACCTCATCTTGTATTTCGCGCCGTGGCGCAACGTAGACGGGGACGACGGAGCGGACGCCGCGGACGGAGTCATGTGCACGAAGCCACGTACTTCCGTGTTCGATTATACCGCCGACGTATGGCAGACGATTACAGACTGAAACTGTACCTACGTGATCGCTTGATTGTCGCGGAAAAAGAGCCGATCCGGCGACAAATGAGATCCGATCGTCCGAATGTTTTCTATCTGTCCGGGGACTTTCAAATACCATCTAGACTCTAGACGATTCTCAAAGAAGTCTTCTTTTTTTTGGTCTTTTTTCGGTACATGAAAGAAACGATTGATCGGAAAGTTCAGTGCGATGTTCAGTGATCTAATCCGTGTTCCGTTAATGATTTGAAGAACTCAATCTTAATGATAAAATTTCGCATTTAATTCCCATTTATTCTCATCTTAATTTGAAAATTTCATTTAAGTCCAATTTCTCAGGTTCATTAGAAGAAAACGGATTACGTCGCTGTAATATCATGAAGTTAAGACATTTATTTGCAGACTCATTTTCTCTCAAGCCTTCAAAAAAAGAATAGAGTGCGGTGACATTAACTGAACTTTTCGATTCTTAAAGGAATGTTTTATTATACCATTCATACGTACGTAGACAGTTTGATAAATCAGTGACTTTTTGAAAGAAGATTACGTTGAAAAATAAATCGAATTTTGGTAAAAAAAAAAAAAAGTTAAAAAATCTCACTGATTCAGTCCTCTTCTATATATAAAATTATTTGCAAAAATTATGCAAAATTGAATGTCACTCCAAACAAATTGCAAATGTAGATTTTTTTTACGTATGGTATCCTAAAGTTGCACATTAATTGCAATACGCTTCGTTTCTTGATCTAGAAGTTCGAAATTCTAAAAATCAATTTCGCGCGCATAAATTAAAAAGTAAAATTATGCGTGACATTAACGCATGTTTCAAATGTGACAGCAAAATGAAAGTATTGATCACGTTAAAAGCTCGTTTGTCAAAAATTCAACGATGCATTATATCTGGTCGAAGGTCGCGTTTAACAATTCACCGAATCTCCCGACTCCCGAGCGTGCCGCGATCAATTATTCAACCCACCTTCCCGAGGCGCGAATGGTATCGCCGAGATGCAAAGACAGCAATAATGACATCCGGAATTATTTCCGCCCAGATGTGAGAAAGCTGCGCCCAGCTGTGACGTTAAATAGCACGTATACCTGCGGGCGACCTACTGTTTCGATAAGAACACGACAGTTAACGAGTTGACCTCGTCGAGTTCTGCTGCTCCTGGAGAGTAACTTCAATCATACTATTGACTTGAAGAACATCAATCATGATTTTACAGCGACTCGTACATTCAGTCAATTAATTCGGCTGTCGGCAGATTCGCTAAGGAACGTTCCAATCCCGAATTGTGACGAAGAAAGAATTCAAGATCGTCTCTTTACCTCAGTCGGAAAATATATCAGATTCTCGTAGCCATCATCCGTGTGAGAAACTCAATTAAACGGACTCACGCTTAAGTTCGCAAACAATTACGCCGTGCCGAGATTGCTTCACCGCATCGATCCCGAGGCATGAACAAGCCCCACCGGAAGAGACAGTTTCATCTTTCTGACATCCCGACGTCCACTCGGGGAGCAGTGCTCGGATTCGCGAATCGTAACGAGAGATTCGATTGACCAACCCTCCCGGGAAGGGAGGAATTAAATTTGCGCGAAGAAAAAAAAGTATCCGGGATCACTTTGTTAGCTCAAGGCCGTTCCGAAGCAAACCTGCAGGGATCATTCTACAAACAATTCTATTGACAAATAATCCTTTGACGTCGGCATCGCGACGTCGTCTAGCCTGCTCCTCCGCCACCGTCATCGCTCACAAGACACTTACGTTTTACAATGCGTATTAACGCGGAGAATAACCGCGCTCGGTCCTCTTCCGACCGCCATACGAACGATTGTCAGGCCGACGG